TGTAAGCACACATGCTAGAGCCTGGTAACACTAGAGGGCAGTGCATGGCCTACCTGACCTCCGCTCTGTCTTCTCCATATCAGGTTGGGCTTTCCTACCATTGTCTAAAGAGCACTGCTTGGTGTCCATTTCTGAGGTGCCTGCTGCCTCAGCTACATCCTCACCATAGAGGAGAAAGGCCATCATTATGGGGCAGCTTTCCTTGTCTTCCTGTTCAATCTTACCACTTATTGTGGGAGGGAAAGACCCACATTAGAATCACCTGGGAAGCTTTTCCAAAATAGACATGCTTGCCCGGCCTCCTCAGATTCTGATTTGGTCCTTGGTTGAGAACTACTGATTGAACCCATTCATTCCTAAGGTCTACAATTTCCACTGGCCCTTATCACTGAAACCTTCTCATTTCTTCCAGACAAAATGCTCAGAGGTAGTCCAGGGGTGCTAGGAATCAACATTATTGCCATGTCTTACTCCACCCTGCAGTCTTTCAGTCAGGGGTTCACAACCTGGGTGGTATCATCTCATAGCAAGGCATTCAGAAATAAATGTGGAGGCATTTATTTATTGGTTATCACAATGACCAGGAAGGCTAATGGCATTTCCAAGGTAAGGATCAGAAATGCTAAGCATCCTACAGCGCCCCATACTGAAAAAATGTCCCACCAACAATGCCAACAGCACCCTACTGAGAAACACATTTGGTATTTGATTCAAGCTTTGAATCAGCCTCCTCAATACTCGGGCATCCTCTTGACTAGCTGCTGCAGTGTCCCGGGGGCTGTTCTCCCTCGCCAGCCTCTCATATTCCCTCATATTCCATAAACTATGGAAAAAGAGATTCTTAGTTTTCAGATATTCATGTAATACAAAGGTGGCAGGGGTGCTTGTCCAACCTCCATTTCTGCTTTCCATTTAATCTAATTTCATTCTCTGCCCGCTAAGATGTGGGAGGAATGGGGAGGGAGGAAAAGAGCAGGAGCCAGTCACTGCCTCATGGGCGGATTTGAACTATCACATCTGACAGTAATCCCGGTTGATGAATAAATACAAGATCTCGCTCAAAACCAACCCTTTCCCATCAGTCTTAATTATCTTTGCCCTCTCTCACTGACTGCTCCTTTCTTGCTTACTCAGGCCAAAGCAGTGTATAATTATATGTTTGCAGTAAAGGTTTTTAATGGCCACCCATATCTGGCTTTCCTCTCCTTTTAGATACACGGGAAGACGGAATTTTTCACCCTCTTTCCATAGGGTGAGGCCAAGTGACTAGTTCTGACCAAGGGGTTGTCAGTGGAAGGATGCGTATCAACTCCTACTGGAGCATTTCATCGCCAGTGAGAAACCCTCTGGCATTTTCTTCCCTTGCCGCTGTGATGGTGGAAGCTGCTGTTAAGAAGGCATCTCCACCAGCGTGGCTCCCAGAACAACTACCGTGAGCAGAGCCCCTGCTGACCCCCATCTGACATGCAGAGTAGGCAGAGATTATAAACCAAGGTTTAGACCTTTGTTGCTTCTAGTCACAGAGATTTGGGGGATGGTTTGTTACCACAGCATAACTTAACATATCCTGATTGATTCAACGTTCTTTTGCATGTTTAGATATTTTTCATCTTTGTGCGTAGATCGTGAGTCAGAGTGGCTTCAGTTTGAGGCTGAGTTTCACCACGTAGAGTGACCTTGGCTGACCCTTCTAAACCTCAGTTTCTTCATGTGTCAAATGGTGATCATGACTGTACTAACCTTATGTGGTTGTAAAGACTAAATGGGGTAATACAGGGAAAGCGCTTAACCACAGTGCCTGGCAGGTAGCAAGGGCTCAGTAAATGTAACTTATTATTTTTCCTTATTGTTGATCTAAAATTGACTTTACTTGCCCCCTACCCCAAATCCTCTAGGAGCCTTTAGCTTTGGCTGCCTCGAGTCCTTCTAATGTCCTTCTCCCTAAAAAGCAAATAGTCTGGGACTGCTTCTTGCTTCTTTTATATTCTTTGCAGCTCCCAGAATGGGACATTGCTTGCAACTGACACTGTTATCCATATCTTTAGTTGAGTACACACTTGTGATTGGAATTGAAAAAGCATTTATGCCAAATGAATGTAAGTATCAGCCAAACTGAAGAAACCCGATTACTTTTTTCAGTATGAAACTGGCATGTCTGGGAAACATGTCAGGAAATGTCCAAATATCTACTGTGTCTTTTGTTGCTGAGTGATCGCTGGGAAAGGCAAAATCCAGTTCTCTTGGCCACACATCAAAAATAGACACACATTCTAAATTAGCAGAAAGCAAATCCCATTTGCATTTATGTGACAGCCAAGTCTTGCAAAGGGTTGCCAGAGTTTGCTTCTGGACCTCTGGGAGCCCTTTAACACTTGAAGATAACTACAGGTTATCTTAGGACGGGCACCTTCCTCCAGCACTCCTGGATTCTATTCTCAGCTTGACACTGAGTTTTACCAGGTCTCCATAGCTAAGGAAACTAGAGGTAATTACTTGGCTGACCCAGACAGAAATACAAAACAAAACACTTAGCCTTATTTATTTTTATTTTTGGCCCACATGCCAAACCTTCCAATTTGTAAGCAGTTCTACCAACTATTACCTAGTCTAATAAGTCCTCTCCAAACCTGGAACCTAACTGGAGAAACATTTAAAACCAACCATAAAATCCATTTCAATACAAGAAGAGAAAGAAAGGAAGGAAGGAAGGAAAGAAGGAAGGGGGAAAGAAGGAAGGGAGGAAGGAAGAAAGAAAGAAAGGAAAGAAAAAAGAAAAGGAAGGAAGGAAAAGAAAAGAACAACAAAAAGAAAAGAAAGAAAGGAAGGAGGGAAGGAAGGAAGAGGAAGGAAGGAAGAAGGAAGGAAAGAAAAGAGAGATTCCTGGCCCCTGAGAAACTTTTTTTTTTAATGATGCCTTTTAGAATTATTATTGTAGCATTTTCAGGATATCTTGTAATGGACTCTTTGTTTCCTTATTCAGAGCTAATTTTGCAATTTCATTTCTCGAAGCCCTCTTCCTAAGTATTCCTGAAAACAAGCTACTTCTGTTTCAACACATCTACAGAGTCAAAGTTCCTTTTTCTATCAGATTCAATCTGAACAAATTAACAATTTATTGGACCTTTAAGCGCATCTTCATCAGATATCCTGAATGTACCTTAGAGTCCTAACCATCAGTTAACCCCCCAGATCTCTGAAGGATCTCCGTGGGCTGCAGGGGGTTGGAGTCCCTGAAACTTTCAATCAACTATAGCTGATCTGACAGCAGAGCAGTAGCTCCTCAATTAAATAATGTGGACTGCCTTATGCACCATCATTTACTGAAACCCTGATGCAGGGATTTTTAATTCCTGGAATCTACCCAGTTCCTCTAGTTGGACTGCTATGTGCTTCTCATTATAACCCAACTACACAGGGCAGAAATGAGTGGAAAGAGCAGGGCTGGGAGTCAGGAGCAGACATCGTCCTTGCGCAGGTCCTTAATCCAGTGGGTTGAACAGAGGGTTAACAATTTTCTCATCTGTAAACTCGGGACACTAGTGCTTTGCCTTAGCTACCAAGCAAGCTTGTCTTCGGGGCACTTGTGAGAATGCGTAAGTGTTGGGAGACTTTAGTTCTGACTCGAAAGGTTTCTTCTGTAAGTCAGTAGTTGCGAACCCAGAGGTATTTTCTCAGGAAAATGATACCATACCCGATGGTGAAATTTCCAGTCTAATGCTACAAACATCTGTTTAATGACCATGTCCCTGGAGAGTAACACATAGCAGTGGTCCTACAGATCATCACCAGTCTGGGATCATCTGATTGTGGTGCTAAGGGTGGAATTCTGGGTGAGCGGCAAAATGGGGTCCCCTTGCGGTGGGGGAAGAGAAAGAGAAAACTGGTGCTGGACAGAAAGGAAGTAGCAGAGGGAGGAGTATGGGGGCTCCAATGGGAAAGGAACCCACGTCAAGCCTGTGGAGGGCCTTTACAGATATAAGGATATACTGGGTGGCAGGCTGTGGCTTTGGAAAGTCCTATCAATAAAGCTATTCAGTGCTTACTGGCCTCTCCACCCCACTGTCTCCTCCACTCCTCCTGCTATCGACACCATCTATTTTTGAAGTCTTTAGGGCGCACATGAATATAGCCAGCCCTTCCCCAAGACTCATGGTGGAGAAGCCACTTTTTCCATTTATGTAACTAATCGTTCTCTACAAAATAGACCACTATATGATACATAAACGTATAGTATCATGACAGAGGAGCCCTGGGAGAATGGAAAGCTACATTTATATCCGTGGGTCAGTCAACAGGGTGCATTAATCTTAGAGGACCCCTGGAAGACTTCAAGGAGGCTAGCTGCTCCTTGCCTGTTTTTCTCTGGATAGAACCTTCCAAATCTGACTTTTCAAATCCTTGATTGAATTCCCAGCAATCTACTTTTCCTGACTGTAACCAGAAAAGCATGTTTAAATGAACATGAAATTCCATCAGTATAAAGCCTTGTGAAGCCCAGTCCACCAGCCCCGTCGCCAAAGCCACTAATAATGCCCTATTGTGTTACTGTGGTAGTCTAGGTTATCATTATGAAGTCTTGCTCCTGGTTGAGAAAACATGACGTTCCATTAAATGTATAATCTGGGTTCTCTCCAGGCCAGAGATGCATCCTGCTAAAACCTGAAATGAGCTGACTTTTAATGTCATGGAAAAGAAGAGAGCCATTCACTGAGAAAAAGGGAGTTGAGGGCTGGGGAGAAGAAAGGTGCCCTGGGATCCCTTAGTTTCAGCCTGTAGACAGTGTCTAGCCAGCCAGAGTATCTTAGATGCCCAAGGAAAAAGTGAGTCAGCATTCTTTTCCCTTCCACTCTGCTGTGGTTGGGTGCTGGACAGCACTGTCTGAGAAGGTTCTTTCTAGGACAGAAGACCATGTCTTTAGGGACGACCACAGGCCTCTTTGCAATCACTGCGTTTTGGCCCATCCCCCAGCTCTGAGTCCGGCATTCACACACATCAGCCTGGATTGAGACCGCAAGCTGGAAGTGTGCAGACCATCAAGGGCTAGCAATTTTTTCATTCAGCATGAAAATACCTCTCTCTTCAAGCTGTAGGACAACTAAAAGAAGTCAGAGGAGTCCACCTAAAAATAAAGGTAGGTGCCTGCAAAGGGGCCCCCATCATTTCTTTCCTGGAGCATGTTTGGGTCCCCAACGCACTGCAGAGTATCCTATGATGCATTTAGAAATTTACTCCAGGATTAAATATAAAAGAAGCAGCAGCCTCTATAATCATGTGCTTGGAGCTCAGCATGCTAGTTAGAGACCCTCCTCACACTTGAAACAATTCTTTAAAAACTCAAAGTATCTTGTTTTTGTTGAATATAAGAGTAACATATGCTCATTACAGAAAACTTGGAAAGTTCAGAAAAACACACACACAAAAAAAATTTAAAATCTTACCTTCTAGACAAATACAATTATATATTAGGTAAATCAAGAAATACACGTATGTATTTAGCTTTTTTACAAAGGTAGCATCGTAACATACATAATATCTGTGCTTGTATTTTCACCTAAGGGTAGATTATGAGCACATAAAATATGCATATTCAATACTATGCTATACCATGCTTTACTTAATAAATCCACTATTGTTAGATTTAGGTAATTTTCAGCTTCATTATTATAAACAGCACTGCCAGGAACATACATATAGTCACTTGTTTGAGACCATCTTGGATTTTTCCTTTAGGACATAGAATTGCTAGATGGAAAAGTGGAACCCCATTTTTTTTAAAAGCATTTGATACATGTTGCCTAATTACCTCCTTGTCTGCACTATCCAATACAGTAGCCACATGTGGCTGTTTCAATTAAAATTAATTAAAAATAAACAAAATAAGAAGTTCACTTCCTTGTTTACACTAGCCACATTTCAAGCTGCTCAAGAGCTACCTATGGCTAATAGACACTAACTGGCCAGAGCAGGTATAGAACATTTCCATCATCACAGAAAGTTCCACTGGACATCACCAGTCTAGAAAGACTACACAAATTCATATTTTCCTTCGTAAGACAGGAAAGTGCCCACCTCCCACAAGTTGGCCAATATTGAATATTGTAATCTTTAAAAAAACCTTTGCCAACTTAATAAAAATTACAACTTGTTTGATTTTTTCATTTCTTTGATTACTAGTGAGGTTGACATTTTTTGTTTGTTTACTGTTCTCTACTGTGCTCATCTTTTTAAAACTGCTTTTTATATATTAAGGCCAATCTTTGAGGAGTAATTGATGTTACAAAAGCTTTTGTAACTTTTTATTATCTTTTATCTCTGACATTTTTTCACTTACGGAAATGGAAAATTTGAATATATTTAAGTATTTTCATAGTTTTCTCTATTGTTTCTGTCCTGTTTTAAGAGCTCTAAACCTAAGATTACAGTAATAGTCATTTAAATTTTCTTCCGGTTGTTTCATCCTTTCATTGTAAACATTTAAATTTTCAGTCCTTCTGGAATTTATTTTGGGGTGTGGTGTAAAACATAAACCTAACCTTTTTTCTTGTCCCATGTTACCAACCATTTGTCCAAGAATCTTTTTTTTTTTTAAGTAGGCTCCATGCCCCAGCATGGAAACCCTGAGATCAAGACCTGAGCTAAGATTAAGAGTGGGATGCTTAACTGACTGAGCCACCCAGGCACCCCAAGAATCATTTTTTAAAATAACAAATTAATTCCCCACCAACTTGAACTTCCACTAAATGCTCTCATGTCCCTGGATTTCTTTCTAGATTTTCTATCCTGTCTACCTGTTCTTTGGCCTTTACCATCCTGGGTGGAATAATTTGCCTTATGATACATTTTAATATTTACAGGTATTTCTTCATCATCTTTCTCTAAAAATGCTTTACCTCTTTTTACCAGGTTTCTGTCTCTAAGATAAACTTAGAATCATTTTGTTAAATTCCTCTCACCACCAAAATAAATTCTTTCAGAACTTTAAGAGTTCAATTCAATTCAAATTAATTTGGGGAGAACTTGATTATCTCTACAGTATGGAGTCACTCCATTCAGGGACTTGGTGGTTCTGTCTATTTTTTCAAGTCTTCCTGTGTGTCCTGCTCAACTGGCTTTTGGGGGGGAAGGGGTGGGGGAGGAAAGCACCGTGATGGGCACCTCTGACTGTTTTCAGACACAGTCTCTGAATCTGTGAGCTGTTGCTCCCAGCCACTAGAAGTAACAAAAGAAATTCCATTTCTTAGTATTGGAGTATATTTTCAGTATCCACCTTCTCATAAATCTCTAAGAAAGACTTCTCACTTTTCATCCAAAGAATCTGGAGTTCAAAACAGCCCTTACGGAAAAATCAAACTCCAGGGGCAACTGCAAAGCACATTTGGTGTCTCGCTGGCCAACTTATTTTGCAGGCCTCTTTTTCCAACTCCCAAATACTTTCCAGTCTGTGAAATTCATCCTCCGCCACTGTTTCAGCAAGCGTCTCTCCTGGCACCAGAGAGCTCACATACTTTTAACGAGCATGGATCTTCTCTGAGGGGCTTTTTATTGTCGAAGCTGGGTTTTAGTAGATAGCATAAAGCTTCCTTGAATGACTGTGGCTTGGCAAATCTAAGGGGACTTGGGAAGTGTTTAATTGGTCAGAGTTCAGCTCTCCCTTGAGCACAGACCTGAAGCTTAGCCACTATCCTTTTTGGTAAGGAAACCAGGGCTCCTGCACCTCCCTGGTAGCCCACCAGTGGAATTACCAAAAACTTGAATCCGTCTGAACCAGAGGTCCCAAGCCCAGGAGGGGCGGGCAGGAATGTATCCACAGGGCACTTTTGGCAACGTCTAGCCACAATTTTGGTCGTCGCCAATGTGAGGCTGGGGGCCTAGGGCGGAAAAGAGAGGGAGCATGGAGCCGGCTTACTGGGGAGGGGCCAGGGATGCTGCTAAACATCCTACAATGCACATGATGGCCCCACAACAAAGAATTCCTCAGCCTAAAACCCAATAGTGTCTAGGCTGAGAAATCCGCCTTAGTTTTCACTAATTGCCCAGTCAGCGTGCACTGTGTTATTAGGAACAAAGGCAAAATACACTATGTAGGACAGCATGTGGGTTTTTTTTGTTGTTGTTTTTGTTTAAAGACATGACTGACTTTTCAAAACCCACTCCAGCCGCGCCTGGAAGTTCTACCTCTCCAAAGCACGCCCTTCTCACCAGGTTTCTAAAGCAAGTGGAAAGGATTCGCAGAAACGTGTTAGGTCAACAGCATCCTCACACTCCCTTGCGTGCTCCTCGGTCACGGAAAGCGAGGCGGAAAGTAGGTTTTCCCCCGAACCAGCAGCGACGCCCCTGCGGGCTCGGGCGGCGAAGATGGGGAGGCGCGCTCCGCGACAGAGGCGCAGCGCGGGGCCGCGGCCACCCCCCGCGGTCCCTCTGGGTCCCCTGAGACGCGCGCCTGTCCCGAAGCGATGCTGTTAACAAGCCCAGCCCGGCAGGGAGCATCATCAGCTGAGCCTAGGATGCAACAATGCGAGACACTTACTTGTCCAAAATGAAGTACAGGTCAAATCCGCCGTAGCAGGCTGGACCCCCTTCCTCCCTGCGTCCCCCTTGCCCGGCGCAGATGAGCACAAAAGTGGCCAAGGAGAGACACTTGAAGCCAATGCCGAGGGCTCTCTGCTCCACGGTGGCCATGACCTGCAGCCCAGGGAGAGGGTAGGGTCCTCTGCTTCCCACGCGCCCCGAACTGGCCAGGACCTTCAGGGACGCGCCATCCGAGGGGCCCTGCTCGCGGGCCCTTTATTCCCCCTCGCGCTCCTGGAACTCCCCGGAAGCAATTGTCTGGAGGAGTTCAAGGTTTTCCTTCTGGTTTCCGCTTCGATTCTGTTTCTAGGTTTCAGATTTCAAGAATCCCAATACTGTACTCCGCTTTTTTAAAGGGGCTGCTCCTGACTCGGGCGGCGGACCCCTCCGGAGGCTCCGCGGACGTTTTGCAGTTTTGAAGCAGTTCCGTCCCGACGCTTCTTTGTCCCGGCTTTTAAATATTATGGGGTGGGTTTTCAAATTGTTCTTGGTTGGGAGAGTGCTTTGCCTCTTCTCCCTCCTCTCGCCCCCCTCCCCCCGTCTCATTTTTTGGGGGGAGGGGGGTAGAAAGAGAGTTCAAAGGCTGCCACCTTGTGGCCGAAGATGGCGAAAGCGCCCTTCGGGGTTCGCGCGAGTGCGGCTGTGCGTGTTTTCTTATTCTTTTCTTTTTCTCATGCACCTTCCCTTTCTTTCTCCTGTATCTTCCCCATTCCTACTTCTCGCTCGCTCTCTAGCCTTTTTATCCCTGCCCTCTCCTTTCCTATCCTGTATCTGCTGATAAGGTCGCTGTAAACATTTGATGAAAAATTACTTCCTCCAAGGACCTTGGCTCCGACCCTGGGGCTGGGACCTTTGCACCTTTGTGCAAATGAAGTAGAGAAGAAGGGGGCCTTTGTGATCTGACTCATGCCAGCGACCTTACTGTGCTATTAGTACAGATCATAAAAGAGTCTGTTGGGGGCCAGTCCTGTGGCTGGACATAAACAATCCCAAAGAAAAGGTTGCTCCTGGCATGGAACAGCAGGGCATTCTAGATTGTCTCCATCTCCAGATTTTAAAGATTCTGTGAGAAGTTCTTCTTTACAGCCTGTGAACTTTGACCTTTTTCACCCCATCTTTGATTTAGGACAGAGGGAGTAAACAGCTTACAAGAGTATGGACTTTCCAAATCATTTGGGACCGGCAGGGGAGTCCTGTGCTAGCCTCTCTGAAGTGAGGGGTCCTCTTTAGAGTGGATCCAGGCAGGAATTCAGTTCCAGCTTCATAGAGCTTCCACCTGGGGAGTCCTCAGTGCTCCATTTTCCAGAGTTATTTCTCCAGACACATCTTCCCCTCATTTGTGATCCTCTAAGACACTTGGGTTTAGTCTCCAGTGTGACCATCCATGGTGGTTTTCCCCCACCAGCTATAACATGGAAACCTAGTGTCTTGGAATGCTTCATTAAACAATCATTTTGTTGTCAAATAAGTTTGGGGGACTCATAAAGCATTGCACCAGCCTGCCTCCAAAAGGATCCTCAATGTCCCTTCTTTCCTGGTGTTAACACACCCCCCCCACACTGAATAACACTGTTTTGTGGGCAGTTGATGAGGTATGACAGAAATGATGATGTGTGACTTCTGAGGCAAGGTCATAAAAGATACTGTGGTTTCCTTCTGGCTCCTTGGTTAACTTGCTCGGGGGAGCTCATTGCCCTGTCAAAACGTCACTTAAGCAGCTGTATGGAGGCATCCATGTGGCAAGAAACTGAGATGCCCCGCTGATAGCCACCCACGTGAGTGACTCATCTTGAAAGTGGACCCTCCGGCCCCAGCCAAACTGACAGATGACTGCAACCCTGGTCAACATCTTGACTACGATCTTGTGAGAGCCCCCAAGCTAGAAATACTCAACTAAGCCAATCCCAGATTTCTGACCCACAGAAATTATGAGATAATTATTGTTTATTAGTGTTTTAAGCCTCTAATATTGGGGGTAACTTGTTATGGAATAATAGATAACTAGAAAATCCTATTGTCACATTAAAGCTTTGAGAATTTCTTTAAAAAAAACGTTTAACTGTATTTTCCAGACTTACTTGGCCCTGAAACTGTTCTTGTCAAACAACACCTATTGACACCTACATTTCGGGAATTACTGCTCTCAGGAAAAAAATAATTGGGAGGAGGTTAAAATAATCTAGACTTAGTCTGTGCAACTCTTGTTTTTCCATATCTCTGAAGTAGAACAAAGCTATCCAGAGTCAATAACAGGGACAGAAGAAGCTCTTGGTGTAATAGCAACATGATGGTTCAACAAGTCTGCAAGAGGAGACATTATGAGTTTCTTTGAACTGGCAACATTTTCCTTTGGTTGTTGGGATATAGAAGCCTTATAATTAGTGCATGTAGGGAAATGGGAGAGGTGGATCAGTCAGTTGAGGCTGGAGGAGGACTTGGGAAGGAGAGTCTTCATTGGGTTCCTGCTAACATTTCCCAGATTCATGTTACAGCTAAGAGATGCCTAAGCAAACTCCTCTGCCTCTCAAACTCAAGTCAGTGGAAGAACAATATAAACTGTGATGTTGGGGCCATGGATGAAAATTTCGGAAGATGGAGAAGTGCAGGCAAACTAATCATGTACATGGAAGTGTTTGAATGGTAACCTGGAAGCCAAGGTAAGGGTAAGTTTCTTGGAGGAAGAAGCAGTCAAGAGTGTCACAAGCTGTGAAAGTCAAGAGCATAAGCCCCAAGAAAACCCCATTGATCTGACACGTGTCATTGTGTCACCAAGGAGATTCCAGTGAGGTAGTGCTGGTGTGTGTTGGACTGCACTGGGTTACAAGGAAGGGGAAGCTTCTCCTTCAAGAAGTAGAGGGGGTAACTTGTGAATGTTTGAATGTTTTACATTCCATAAGGAAGGATCCCAGGATACTTAAGGATACCAGAAATTTCAAATGCCCTGCCCTCCAAAAGATTGGAGAGTTTGTCTTACTAGACTGATTGTCTTAAGGGTTTAGTCCTGCACTACTGTTGTAACTGAATTTTCCAGATTTCCTTCTTTGAGATAGAAATTGTTAAGTATGACCTGCCTGTCTACCAGCCTCCAGTGATTCACTGTCCATACTTGCCCCCCACCTCCAATATGTGACTGAGCCCCTTTTGTCAAGCTGTCAAAAAAATTTTTTTCCTGTCTTGGTAACATTCCATGTAACCTTCAAGAATTTCAGAGGGCACTTAACCATTTGTCTGGGTTCTTGACAAAAGTTCTGGAAAATGCTCAAGATAACACAGACTACCCAAGAAAACTTGGGAAATTCTTTCCTTAGAAATAGGGACAGAATACAGACAGATCTGACACCTTCTACCAAATTTTGGGTCAACCAAGTAGGTCCAATGTTTGCCAGGTTCTTGTAGGTCCTACTGGTCCTTGGACTTTGGTGGTATCACATAACTTCCTAAGGCAAAATAACAGTTAGTAAAATAGTCTCTTCATTGTCATGAGATTTCCTTCATGCTTGTCCTCCGTAGGACTACCATTTGCAAAAGGTCAAGGCAGCCTTCCTAGAGGGAATTTATCATTCAGAACAACAAAGTTTCTGAAGAATCCAAATCCATTGAATAGTGGCTTTTGGTCAAAAGAAAAGCAAAGGTACTAGTAATGATTTTAGGCCCAAGGGCAAAATCATAGTCTAGAGCAAATACCTTGATGACATCTCATAGGCCAGGTTATTCACAACCTCAGCTCAGAAGCACTCAAAGCTACATTGAATCCAGTATTCCATCGATAACCCTACCCAAAGCCCAGCCCAGACTAACTTGAAAATCAATTTAATCCAGCACCTCCCTTGAAATACTGTTGACACAGCTATAACCCAACTCTGATCAAGTCAGAGCCCTGAAAAAAAATGAGCTAATTTCATATTTTAGTTAATGTCGGCCCAGGGACAGATCCTGTTTAATCTAGTTTACAGTGAAGCTCAGCTAAGCCTGCAAACCATCATAATCCTTCCTAAATCACACCCAAGCCCAGCCTGAAGTTTAATCACCAATCCACTCTTAGCCCAATCCAGCCCAAAAAGCCCAAACTCAAAGCCTAACACAGCAAGCACAGCAAGGAAGACACATTCCTATAAGGTCTTAACCAAGAGAATAATCCATAATTCATGCCAGCATATCCTGAAAAGAATCTGTCCCAGATCTCTCATAAGGGCTCAAAACCTTGCTGAACAAAATCTTCATTTCGTCTAGATCAGAGATCAGGCCAATCCAACCCAGAACCCAAAAGAGAGATAAAATGGACCAGTATAGTCCAGGGTCTTGACAAGCCCAGAGCTTACAAATGCCCAATGGAAGACTATATCAGACAACGTAAAGCCAGCAAAAACCCAAGCACAAGACCAAGTAAAGCCCTTTTCTGTCCAGTTCTGCTCAGCCCTGGCATATTTAAGCATATTCAAGACCAGGGTCTTATTCAGAGAACCCAGACCAATTTATAACTGAAGATACCAGACGAAATCTACCTAGGCCTGTCAAGCCCATAACTCCTTTGACACTTTTACTATGTGTCCAAGTCCCAAGCCAGAGAAACCTGTAGCTCTCAAAGTGTGTGAACATGATAAGAATATTTGGAAGGGGTACCATGAAGGTGAGGGCAAAGAGGTTTACTCACTCTGTAATAACCAATGGAGCTTTTTCAAGATACCTGTATCTGTAGAATATCAGAAAGAGATGCGGGGGTTTCAGGGACACATACAATTTCACAGACCACAGTCTTACAGCGGCCAATTTCTTTTCACTCTTGCCTCACATGTTCATCTCTGATTAGATTTATTGTAGAATTAACGGTAATTCCCATAAACTGTTTTGAGTATTAGTCAGGACAGCACACTAATAGCATAACTGCACACAGGCTATCTGGGGCAAAGCCATTACTAACCAGGTGACATTACTAACAAGATATATGACTTGTCCATAACACAGCTTCCCATCTGCAAAATGGGGTTACAAATATTACCTACTTCATTGAGTTGTGTGGTTTCAATGAGATAATTGTGTCATGGGTAGTCCTCAGGAAACACACAATAAATGTTGGCTTTTATTGTTATTGTGGGATTCTGGGGAATTGCTTGTGAATTTCTTCTAGAGATGAGAAGAATAAATTTCGAAGAACCACTTTCAGAGTGTTTGATTTTTCTACCACCAGTGAAACAAAGCTGTTTCTCTACCATGTGCATTCACATTATGAACTCTGAGAAATGCAAAGGTGAAGATTCTAGCTCATCCAGGAACTACTGGGATTTGAAGATTTCCTAGGATACATGCAGAAAACAAACAGAAAACATACTTTGGAGCTATCAAAAATCTATTGGCAGCGATACTGTTTCTGCTAGCCAAGAATGCTAGATAGCTAAACTCTAAAGAAATGTCTGAGAAAATAGTTATAATCAGTGATGCTTTTTCTTCTGAGGCTGGTTTTTAGATCTAATGTTATAATAATTGAAACTTCTTTCTGATACTCGTTTTTTTTTTTTTTAAGATCTAACAATCCCTAGAAAAGAACCTTCCTTATTTTTCCTCATTAACTCATTCATTCATTCAAAAATAGTTTTTGGATATCTACTATAGGGCAGGCCCTGTGCCTACACTGAAGATACAAAGATGAATAAAACATGGACCTTGCATAATTTACTTGGGAGACACAAATGCATAAATAGATATTGATACAATTTGGTTAACCTCTCTTCTAGAGGAAACTCAACATGTCCCTTCTACCCCACCATGCCAATTTTAAGGAGAACTAGGTCTAAAGTAATGGAATCTTCAGAGATGTACTGTTGAACTACAACTCTTTGAGTTGTCCCAGGATGTGAATGAGTTAAGACATGACAAATGTTTCTTCCTGCTGGTAATGAGATACTCCTTCCTTAAGTAGATCCAAAAGTGATCAGGGAGGATTCCATGACAAAGAGACCAAGGTCTGGGCTGCTTAAGGAATACCCAGGATCCTTGTTCCTATTCATGATCCATCACAGATCATCAGGGTACAGAGGGCTTGGGGCAGAGCTGTAACTAGTAACTTTGCATTTACCTCATGAATTTGCCTCTGAGCATTGACTCCTTAAGGAAAAGCTTGGGAGACCTGGGTTAACTTTCTGGCATAGGTTTTCAGGCTCAACTGAATGTGTGTCCAAGATAGATATTTAAGAAGTAGGCTCATTCTGGAACCTCTAACATAAAAACATTTGCCCTTACTGTGGCCAAAATAAGAGTGGAGAAGTCCTATGTCATTCATTGTGAGAGGGCCTCTCTGCCCCATGGAATCAGGACTGATTCCTGAATCTAGATAAAACTCCTTTCAAAATAAGTTGAGCTCAAGACATGGATGGTACTGCTTCCCAGGTTTGTTTTCTTTTTAATCATATTTGTCATCAAAGATTGAGGACTGACCTGCTCTGAAATCTTAATCATGGTCATAAATTTAGACACTTAAAATGTGAGTTTAAGTCAAAAAAGATAGCGAGGTCAATCAATAAACACATAAAATGACTAAGAGCCCCTACAGCATAGAATTATCACCTTCAGTTGAAATGGAGGAAAAATCCAATGTAATTGTTACAAATCTAAGAGCTAATGAGGAAGAAATAAAGCTCATTCCCAGAATACTGTCCTCTAGAAACCAGATTTGCTCAGAGGCAGAAGGAAATCAGGTGGCAGATAAGAAAACTTTACAAGTTGGTGTCTCAAAAACAGAAACTATAAAATTGAAGTATGGAGGGAGTTCATCATAAACTTAATAAGTAATGAGATCAGTTTAAAATGCTGTTCTTAATCATGTGGTTAATCTAGGGACTGTGGGAAAAGAGGGGGGGAAAGAAAAGGAAAGGAAAACATCCAAATCTGGCAAACTGTATGCATATATAGTAGCATTTTTGGAATACCTTTTCCACACTTTGATAGTTCCCCATAAATCAGGTTCTCCTAGCATAAAATTAAAACAACAATAACCATATTTTTTAGTCTTCATCACTGCTATAGTTCAGATATATGTTGAATTGTCCTACTATGTATCTTTATTAGGGTTACTTCCTCCCTCTCTGAGAAAGTTTTCTCAAACTCTCAAAGTTTTCAATATTTCCTCCTTCACTCTTAATTGATACTGCTGCTTCATTTTTATTTGGAAAATTAGAATCCAAAAGAAGCTCATATATGTAATTCTTACATGCAGGAATGATGCCCGTGCTGAAGACCTTTGAAGCCATGAGTGTATAAGTGGAAGTTATGAGTGTGCTTGCACACCACCCTGGGCTAGTGAAGAGAATGATAAGAAATGAGGGTCAACAGCAATTGCACTACTAGGCATTTATCTAGAGGATACAAACATAGTGATTTGAAGGGGCAGCTGCACCCCAATGTTTATAGCAGCAATGTCCACAATAACCAAAATATGGAAAGAGCTGAGATGTCCATTGACAGATGAATGGATAAAGAAGATGTGGTATATATCTACAAGGGAATATTACTCAGCCATCAAAAAAATGAAATCTTACCATTTGCAACGATGTGGATGGAACTAGTGGGTATTATGCTAAGTGAAATAAGTTGCTCAGAGGAAGACAAATACAATATGATTTCACTCATCTGTGGAATTTAAGAAACAAAACAGATGAGCACAGGGGAAGGG